CACATCTATTCAAGCGAGATAGATAACTATCGGACGATTTGCTGTGCTTTGAGGACGAAAAAGTCGGAAAATTAGGCCTAATGCAGATACCACTAAAAAGGTTATTTAGCGCAAAAAAAGAAAAGTCTGCTCATATATGTGAAGATGGAGCCCAGGTCTCAAGAAAGGAGGAAATGAAGATTACAAATCGATTGTATTTCTACACATGACCCTACCTCATAGTTAACACCTGAAATTGTTCCTAAAACGGTCCAAAGAAGGCAACCTAACCCGCATTCATGTTGCAATTCATGTTCAGAACCGCAATGATTACTCTCAGCCTCCCCGGTTTTGCAGAATGATTTAATACCAATTAGACACAATAAGCCTCCATGAAACGCAAACGATACAAAAAAAAACAATTCCGTGTCTCAAAAAGAACGAACCTGTTCAAAATAATATTTAGCCATTTTCTCCAAATTACTCGTAAAATCACTACTCGTGGTTGGAATTGTATTCGTAGGCGTATAGCTTGCTGCTTGCTGTGGAGCATCGGAAATGAACTGATTTGCAATTTCAATCTGAAAATAATTAGGCTTCAATAAAACCACTCAATAACCTGATTTTGGTAACAGTGGTTATCTTCGTGAAAACTTCGGATTATATAATTTTAATCAAATTTTCACTTGAAACAAGTTTGAATGTCCCATGCCGGGCACGGTTCTGCCCTTGGGAATGAACCTGGGCTAGCTTGAGATATTATTAGGATGCCCACGAGATTATTCTCCTTCGAGGGTAATACTTAATATGGCTATGCATCTCGTGTTCACCCTGGAAAGTCATCGGTTGCCCTGTAATCAGGGTACAGCATCGTGATGTGTGAAATGGTGGTGTCAGTACCACCCCCCCACCTCGAAGAATGGGTCTCGGTACGACCCCCTCCCTCCCTTTCCCAACACTACCTAACACCTTCTTACAGGTTCCCAGCTTCCTACCACTTTCTTTTCCGATTCCCAAAAATTTGTTACTTTCTCCCCTAAATGAGGCAGGGGGGGGGAGAAATAGTACAGATGAAAAAGGAAAAAACCATGAAAAGTCAACAACTGAAAAAATTTTTCACCACGGTGATTTTCTCTCCACATACGACCCCCCTCTCCACAACCCCCACCCCTCCACAGCGGCCAAGTACGACCCACCTCCCTATATTTCACACAACGTTGCTGCACCCTGCCTGTAATGCCGAATAGCAAGACTATCATGGTCCCGACAGCATAATGCTACACCAAAATCAACAGACTGTCTCTTATAATAATTGCAGTAAGAGCGGTTAGTTACAGCAAGCTGAAGTTCGACATTTTTTCTCAATACTAACTTTGCCTCTCAACACATCTCTTCCTCAGCATTGTCTAATTGAGGAGAACTCGCCTGCATATCCTTCAATTTCTCCGTCACGAACGCTGGAATTGCCGGCTTCCGAAGTTGAGCACACGACGCCACACAATATGTACGGCGAATTAATGGTGAAACATTCTGTGTTTGATGTCTCGCCAGGCGACACGCCGCTGATCGCGACGACGCAGCCGACATCCCTCACTCCTGGACCTACAACAACAACAACTGATTCATTTCACATCTCTAATTTAAACATCTGGCGAATTTATGCGCTACATATAGATGACAATCCGGCGGCATGGCATCAGGAGGCGTGGAATAAGCTCACCCGCAGCGTTTTCAACCGCTGTTTGTTTTCTGCTTGAGTCGGCCGCTATTGTGGTGGGAGATGCGGTCGTGGGTGAACGTATCACGTCTTCTGACGCCGCCCACATAGCGACGATATCAACTACATGATTAGGAGATAGGGAAGCGACGAACTGCGCCCCACCACTTGCCCGTGAAAGCCAAACAAGCTTCCACCGCTTAGAGGCTCTGTCTACAAACTCCTCTAAAGAACGCTACTCACAGAGGTAGGATCGTTTCCGTGAATAAAGTGAGTAGGAGCTGTCAGGTCTCATGATGGCGGACGGACGTCACTACATTGAGACATCACAAGTCTCTAACTTCCTCGAACACGCCTTAGCAAAAAGCAAAAGGGGACAATTCTTGCTCACCTTACACATGGAAACAATTCATCTCTGAGATAGTCGCGCAAAGTGCCTTCAGGTATGTATTCGGTTTACAATGGACTGAGGAGATTCAGACGATGTTTGAGGTCTAGGTTAAACACGTTTCACTCATGAACACCACATGACACGACAGTCGTGTCATAGTATCAGTTTCCGAACAGAAATTTGAAGTGAGTAGTTTTACAGCTGCTTGCTTTTGAAGTTCTTTTCGGGTTATTGACACATTGGAAAATGTGAACAAAAACATTTTGAGCAAACCCTTCTCCTTTTCTCCGAGAAAGAATTCAGTCCCATTCATAAGACAAACGAAAACGAGGCCGACCGCGTCGTACTAAATGCATGAGCTGAGCAAGGACAGAATAATTAGCGCCCAAGAACGCGTTCGGAAACCGATTGTGCTTCGGACTCCTAGATAAGAGAATCGGGATTACGCAGCATTTGAATGAAGTTCAAAAGATAAAGTTTTCGGCGTTTTTGGGATGCGGCACTCATTCCACTTCCATCTAGAATCGGAGTGGCTTATTGAATACGAAGTGGCCTATACAATAGAAAAGTTGTTGATGTCCTAAGTCAGTGTTCTTATCCCCACCCCCTAATGAAGCTGGTGCCAATTTACCGTCCCCGAAAGTTAGGAGGCTTGGGCTGATTGGCTTGAACGAGAGCCGACCCTGGATTTGACCCCGTGATCGCAAGCGTACTATGCGTGCACTTGCCACTGCACCACCATCGCCTTAATAGTTACATGGGGGGCTAAGGCGTCAACGCTAAGAGTCTGCTAAAACCCCGTTATGAATTCTATTTGAAACTGATGCGGTGCGAATGACCCATCGCACGTGCTATCTTACATACTCAACTTTCATATAGTGAACCTCTCCACCACCACCCCCTCCTCCCACTTCCACTAAAGTAGCGATCTTATGCATTCTATCAAAAACGTGGTGAGGCGAAGATGACATATACAACAAGTTCGCATCAGGTCTCCGAAATAGCAGAGCCGTTCCTAGCTGGTTGACCTGACCAAGTGCAGCATTGCCACCTTGAGAAAATTGCGGCCTGGTGCAAATGCCGCGTGTGTGAAATCATTAGCAACGCCTCCCGCCGTCCTGGCTGCGACCTAGATGTTCCCACCCTAAAACACAGCTCAGGAGGCACATTCTCAATAATTAGCGCATCCTCCTCTATTAACGCAACGGACACTGCATCGTTGGTGAAAACCCTATACGTGGATCGTACTTTTCGCGACTGGGACGGGAGGGGGGTGCATTTGTCGTTGCTACGGATCAGGGGAACGGGGGTTCAAGGTTCCATAGTCCCACTGAGAGAACTGCAGCGCTTGGAAAGAAATTTTTCGCACCCGTGTTGTTTGATAGTCTTCGTGCTTTTCCTGTTTTATGTGTACGTATACATCAGCCGCTTCCACACGCTCGACTAAAATTTTCGGGTGAAAACTGAAATGTGGGCAAATTCGTAAAGCATACCATTGCGATGCTGTCTTCTAATTAATGCAGTAATGAATGGCAAAAAAATAAATGGGATCTACGAATTGCTCCACAAGCAAGGGCCGGTCTCCTAATGCCGTTTGGACCTCCAGAAATTTCGTGACCAACTCATCTTTTAAATTGGCCTAAGTCACCAAACCGCTAAAAACATGTAGCATAGGATATATTTAACATCGTGATTACACATTAATAACACTCATTCTTGGCGCTGGCGCCAAGGAGATGACACTACGATTACCTCCTGGGCTCAGCCTTAGCAGAGCGCAGATAATCGTAGTGTCATCCATTAGCGCCAGCGGCAAGAGTGAATGTCATATTCGTAATCAGGATGTTCTACCCCTACATACAAGTTTTTAGCGGATTTGGTAACTTAGGCAATTTAAAAATGAGCTCGGTGCCGAAATTGCTGGAGTCCAAACGGCATTAGCCGCAAGTCTCTGGCGCGCTGCGAGACGTCTATGTTCACCAACCCAACCCATGCTGGACTTCGTCGTCTCCCAAGGATGTCCCCCAAAAATATCGCGAGTCACATTATGTATATTTAAATCATATAACTATTTTCTGGCGTTTATTTCTAACTATCTTCCTCCTCTTGATCTAATAACAGAACGTTCAGAAAACCGCAACAGAATCGATAATAATGGAAGAACCAAAACATAGTGGGACATATAGACATTCATTTGATCTACCAAATAATTAGTTAATTATTCGATTAAATTATTCCAGCAAAACAACAACGAAAACACGATGCATCACAGCCAGAAAATTGGCAATGAGTACAACAGTCTTCCATTATAAACTGAAGGAAAACAATGTCATATAAAGCAAACAAGAGAAGACAATTGGTGCTTATTTACCGAATAAAGAAATCACCAATCAAAACCCACAAATCCAACCATATTACCCACAAAACAATTCAGTTTATAATCATGGAGTAATTCGGCATATTCGAAAGAAGGCTCACTCACAGCCCACATGTCAACAAAGAAAACACCTGATTCCAATCAGATACTGACTAGTATTCTTGTAATAGCATTCACAGCACAAACCTGCTAGAACCCAGAACTACGATACATCAGATTTGTGTGCTACACTTCTTTCAGCTATTTTGAAGGCAGTGGGCACGATGGCTGGGGGCAGGAGGTTGTTGCCAGCGTAATCGCTGGAAGGGCTAAGTTAGACGGAGCTAAACGCCTTCTCGCACCCCTTTCACCAATGACGCTGGCAACAACCGCACGCCTCCAGCAATCGTGCCCCCTGCTTCCAAGGCTATAATCTGAGGCAAATGAGTCAGGAAGGAACAGAGACGCAATATAGACACGAATACGTACAATGTTATTAAAATCAGAATAAAGAAGTTATTACCACCGCATTAGAACTAAATCTACTCAATACTTTGTTACAGCTCATCTTTGTCGAGAATTGTATACCTTGTGTGCGACGGTTTGAGTTTCTCGAATACAGACGGCGGCGGCTGCGTCTCCTGTAAGGAACAGAGAGTACGTCATTTTACGAGGAAAAACTCACACAAAACATATTAGTTAGTGCGTATATGAGAATATTAGACATGGACATGGGCACAGCAAGCTATCGTTAGCGTCTCCCAGTTAGATGGCGTCCACAGTCTGTGATCGCGCGACCTGTGGCTCACGTAATTCACAGGGACTCTGATCGCGGGTTCGTCGAGATAACGTCAGAAGCGGCGCTGCGCGACATGAGCTGTACTCGGCCATAAGCGGCTTAAACCGATTTTGAAACCGATGTCAGCTGTTCCACAGCTTAACGCATCTCTTCGAGGCATTTTTACAGACAAACCCCGCGATCGCATATGGTGGGTAGTAGCTTTCAACAGCGAAGCCATAGTCGCTAAGCGACTCTAGGGAAGAAAAACGCAAAAATTCACGGAGAACACCTCAAGTACTCTGGATGAATTGGCCGTACCTGTTCGTTTTATACCAGCAGAGCGGATCCTGCCTTCTCTGGCCCACTAATCGCTTCTTCACGTCATTCAAAACTACTACCACCTAACAATGAAGAAGAAAAGTGCGATCTAAAAATCGAACTAGCGGCAGAAATTGCCGTTTACGTACGGTTAGCGGGGCAACTACGGAGGCGTCAGAACTGCCACTTATGAGGGCCGGAACGCTTTTATTACTTACTGTGAAGCCGCGAAGGTGATTTAACCTTGGAGATTGAGAACAAGACTACTTGAACAAGGAGGAACGCTATTCTGAGTAGTCCTACGCGGGAGACTAGTTGAGCAAGCTGTTTCAACACAAACAATCGCATTTGCGTGTGTCCAAGCTCTGCCTAATAACGTAAGGCTACGTTCCTACTCCGCTAAAACTGCGATTAGAGAGCCCGCGTGGTTGGATGGGTCCATGCGGCAATGCCAGGTTACTGGTCTTCGGCCTCCTTCTAGGTTTGAATCAAGGGCTCACAATCACATTCACCATCAGATGGAAAGTGGAGACGACCGTAGTCGCCGTGCTCGCCCTACTCTCGAAACGTGGCCTCGTCCACCTACATAAGCGCCAAATAGGTGACGCAAGAAGCATGAGCAGTAATCTGGAGTATCCACAATTTGGAAGGATACGCGACAAATTACTAGCGAATCGAGCGTTTCAAATCACCCACTCTCCATGCTAGTGGTCGGGCTCAGTCTATTTTTATCTTCGGGCCCTTTGTGTTGGCATTTCAAACTGTTATTTTGTCCTGTTCTGCACATTCTCGTCAAAGGGCGGCTTTCCTTTCGCTGTCCATACTCACAGAGGACTTTCTTTTTCTGCACATTCCATCCACAAAAGGCCAATCCTTTGAAATCGCGAGTTAATCAACCATCACGAAGCTATCTTAGCCCCAAAGACACAGGCTCTCTCTACACAGAGCCATAACTGGCCACATGTCTAGTAGAACGTGGACGGCACCACATATTTAGTAACAGACAGCTTGGAACGTCGAAAGGCAGAAGCGCGCTGATCGGAACGAAATAGGCCCCAAAACTGTTAAAATGGACTATTGAAATTAAAATGCGAAGCGGAAACCAAATCGAACGAGGACTTCCAAGGCGACTCGTACACGATCGTCGCGAAGAACACCGACCAATGCGCGCAGACGTGGGCAATGGTGAAGCGACTCGAACGAATATTCAAGCACACCATAGCAAAAACCGAGCGGCAATACCAGCTCTCGAATATATTTTTGATATCTAACTATTTCATCCGGTTGGACAGTGACCTGCTGAACGACCGGATCTGGACCATGATGGAACTCTCGATGCAACTTGCCACTGTGGAGATCAAGCACGAACGACGTAGTTTTCTGGATGGCTGAAACACATATCTTTAGAAATATTTCGAGATAGAATGAGATATCAATATCAATAAAGACTCACGTCATGTCATTTGTATTGGAAATAGATACATATGACGGAAAGAGTCGATCGCAATCAATGGCAAATCACTTTCTCTCTTACCAAGATGATGGAGTGGATGGGCAAATTTCTTGCCATCAGCGACAAGACAGTTTATCGCGGCTGAAAATGTGGCGATACATACGAAGCAGTTTTCGATAATACAAAGAATAGCTAAATAGTAGGGGATTCGAATATCTCTCGATTCGTAACTTAATTACTTACTCTGCGAGCACATGAAATAATATAAAAAGGGGAGGGGGCTAGTCCAGTTGAAGACTACATTTTGGAGCAGAGCATTCAAAGCATTTCAAACCGTTACAATCATTCTTCACTCTCCCTGAACAATCATGGGAAACACTTTCCCAAACTTCGGGGGGGGGGGAGAAGTTGCGACTGGGGGGCAAAGCACCCAGCACGAAGAATTTTCCCTTTGAGTTTGGACAAAAAAGGAACTCCACTTGTTTCACCGCACCTCCAACCACTAAACGCGGTCCCGCTAAAAAAACTGACATGGCAACGAAGTACATGACATTTGATAGTTTTAAAAACATCTTGTGCAGAAAAGGACGACCGTAATCTGGCGAAACAATACAAAATTCCAAAATAGCTCCAGTGGACTAGCACTATAAAATGTGTGTACTCCACAAGCTTGAATTATTACTTCGCAGAAGTTGAAAGAAAAACAATTAAATGTATCGCACTTCGATGAGAAAAACATATGAAGATGCATACATGGCGAACGAACCGGAAAAACCCGATTCGCCGATGCATCCGAGTCCGAAGTATGAACGCGAGCTTTGACATCATCAGTTCAAATTAAATCAGAATTATAAAAGGAAATCTGGAAGCTTCGAACCTTTTTGATCAGGAAGTTCTCTCATTACTGCTTCTGTGAACACCTTTTCACTCTCTTTATCATCAGGATGACGGAACAAGATAAGGAAAGGAATTCCTTCCTAAACGACAACGATGAGATTATATTTACAGAACGTGAATAGCAGTGCTCACCTCTGTTAACTCTTCAGCGTTCTCGAAAGTTATTTCACGTACAAGAGGAATGCAGTTATCAGTTAACCATCGTCTGGAAATAGAAGATAGGGAACGCGATAACGGTAAAAAATTCAAAAAACATTATGATTTCGTGTTTGATCTCAGTTCTGTTACCTTTTCTTTGGAACTAACTAGAAACTTCACATAGAATCAATGTTTTTGAAACTCTAGCATGAAATCGCTCTTTTGTTTTCGTCTTTTTCTCTTGCAAGCAGGCAAACGAGGATCATGATTGATCGCAAAATGATCGGAGACTACCGCCAATAATTGAAACTATCTTCCAAACTAGAAAACATCGACTTATAGTACACTGTTTTCTGAGGCGAAAGACGCAAGCTTGCATGGGAGCGTCTTTTCCTTCGCGCATTTCTGCTTGCTCTTGCTTATGCGAATGACATATTGGACAAAAAGTATGTGAAAATCAATTGAAATGCAAAAGTATGCAAAGACTAAAAAGCAGTCGAAGTGTTCAGCAACTTTTCGTGCACGTTGCTTGCGTCTCTGCGCCCATAGTAATAAATGCGCTTTATACCTCATTAAAAATAGTAAAATCTGCTAGGAGGGGTCTCTGCTGATAGCTGACTCCTAAGCATAAGCACTTTACAGCAGCATTGACACAGAACTCTAGGAAAAATGGAGCAAGAAGAAGCGGAAGAGTTCGGTGGTACACGATAGTCCAAGAGGTGAGAGACCAACCCAACTGATGTGGGCTGAAAATTGATTCCCAGGTATTCAAACATTAGTTTAACTAGGGAAGGTCGTCAGGTCGAAGTGGCCATTTGTAATGAGATGTAGCTCACTAGACGTGGTTTTGGACGCTGATCTCGAATCTGCCTTCAAAATTTGCAAAGCGATTCTCTGAACGGAGTTATGGAGCCGCGTTTACCACGCAACAGGTCATGGGATCGGATCCCTGCTGAGCTTAACTTTTTTGCTTCTTGCGCAAACGTGGCAAAAAGTGGTTTTCCCGTCACTACTAAATACTTCAGTGCTCACCTAAACTTGCCTGAAGAACCTGCCTAACAAACCTTCATAATTCCTTTCAGAGATTCGCTCTGCAAATTTTGAAGGCACATTCGAGATCAGCGTCCAGAACCACGTCTAGTGAGCTACAGTGTAGTTCGCTGCGGACGGTTGGGCGTGTCAGGCGGGATGAGTTTGGCGCGGTGCCAAACCCGTTCTCCACCAGTTGTTAAAGCGAGCAAATGATATGACTGTATCATATCGTTCGTATTACTCGTTTTCTACCACTTTTTGTCGCATGCGCGCTTCAACAAGAAGGCAGAGAACGGCCCAAAGGACGTGCACACTCATACTGCCTGACACGCCCAACCGCCCGCAGCGAAATACACTATACATCTCATTACAAATGGCCATCTCGACCTGACGACCTTCCCTAGTGAGAGTTGGACCAAAACAGCTGCTCATGTGAAAGTGAATACCGAGTGAGACGGCAGGTGGAACCAGAGAGGTGTACTTCAGAGCGTCCAAGTCGCGACATCGCAGACTGATAGAGTACTTCTCGCCTATTGACTTGACACGCTGCAGCACTGTCACGGCTAGTTCTAGCGCGAAGACCAGGTGCAGAGAACCAGGAGGAACAAATAAGAGTGATTCCCTCACGAGGAAGCTCAACAGACCTGAAGATCGACTGGACCGCTGACGAAAATTGGTTTCGTAGGCAGGAATGGCCAGAATGAACGCTGCATCGATGAAGTGGAGTAAGTCCGCTGTTATCCACTACGATCGCCTCTGCTCAAATGCAATTTTACAGACGAAATGATCATGTTGAGATGGGCCTGTGGCTGAGTGTCACTAGACAGTGTCATAAAGGAAGACGTGCGAGCAGCAATGCAGGAGTACCGTCCAAGTGATTACCTGAGAGAAAATGATACGACGGCAAGGACAAGGACTAAAATGCCAGATGATCCAGATAAGAAAAGCACAGGACGATGTCCGGGAGGAAGGAAAACTCAAAGGAGACAAGGAGAAACGATATCACCTCAAAACCAAGACTATTACAGAGAAGCTTTGGATAGGAGAACGTAGCGAAGAGAAGCA